CACCACGAGATCTTCCAGGTACGACCTCTTTCCAGTTGAACGTATGCGACATGGATGGGGGTAGGGGTACTACTATTTTCATCACGTGGGCGGCGACCGCGAGACGCGCCAGCAGTTTGCGGACCACCCGCAGTTTGCGGCGACCGTCGACTTTTGCCACAAGTACGACCAGGCGGCGTTCGATCCGGACGCAGACAAGTACGCGCTGGCGTTCTTTGAGCCGATGCTGCGCCGCGTCCTTTCGCGCAAGGCCTATTTTTTCGCGCCCAACCATCCAAAGCTCGGCTGCGTCACGGGCACGTCCCTCACGTAATGCGTGCTCCTCTGTATTTTTCTCGATACTTGCTTCTCTTGATACGTTGATACCTTGATACGTGGATACTCCGCATCATCTTTGCCACGCTGCAATAGTCTGGTGGGTCTTGGGTGCGGTGGAGAGCTAGGACGACTCGTCGCCGGCCTTCTTTCGCTGGCGCAAAAGCTGTTTGTACTTGGTCGGGTGCCGCCGCTTCCAGTCGTCCTCGAGCTCCTTCTGGAAGGTCGCGAGGTGGTTCGGTTCCCAGAGTTGCCTGCGGACGAGAGTGTCAAGTGGGCACAGCGACATTATTGTACACGAACCGAGCCAGCACGTCGTCTCGGTTGTGGGGAAATTGCTCGCTGTGGAAGTAGTCCTCGGTTATGTCCTAGAAGAGAGATTCCTCAAGTCGAGCCGATGGACGATCCATTACCAAGGCCTTGCACGTCAAGTACAGCGCCGCCTCCGGTGCGTACGGCCGGCGCAGGTACGCGTAGTGGTACCACCACCGGACGCGCCACACGACGTACAGCGTGAGCGAGTAGGGCAGGAGCACGAGCCGAATGAGCAGCAGCTTGCGCAGCCTACCGAAAGATGTAGTATGAGTGGACGCGGGCGATGCAGCGATCTACGCTGGCTTTTCATAGCCGCCCGAGATCTCGGTGGACGCCATGAGCTCGTCGGTGATGGCCTCGAGCTCGGCCTTGGCCGCGTCTTTGGCCTTCTTGTCCTTGGCGCGCTTGAGGCCAGCGTTGCGCTCGGCTTGCAGGGCCATAGCCTGCCGCTTGACCGTGTCCGACTAATACATCAATCGAATCGAGTACGAGGCCGCGACGAGTACCTGGCGAAAGTACGCGATCGCTTGCTTGTGGCGGTGGACTTGGGCGAAATACTGGCACAACGATAGGAAGAGCACGAACGCCAGCACGATGACGCGGGCGTCCGACTGCGGCGCATACGCGTACTGGACGTACATGCCATAGTTGTACGCGTAGTCTTGCGGGTGGTCGAGGTAGTGGTCGTAGGCGGCGCGCTTGGATGCGTCGGTGAGCACCTCGTACGCTGTCGCGAGCGCTTGGAACGCAGCGGCCGCATCCGCGCTCGGGTTCTTGTCCGGGTGCACCAAGAGCGACAGCGCGCGGTACTGCTTCCGGATGTCGGTCGCCGACGCGGTCCGCTCGACGCCGAGCAGGTCGTAGCACTCGCGCTGCCCGCAGTACATGTTGCGGCCATGGACCATCGCAAGGCTTAGCGCAAGCCAGCGGTGAAAGTGTTTTAAACAGTTGCTGTTTTGAACACTCGACAGGTCGAAGACTAGGGCCGTGGATTCGTTAGGTTCTAAATCTAAATAACAGAGGACGCGCCTAAGTGCCTAGCGAAGAGCGGCTCAAAGCCCGGGCGGACGCATGCCGAGTTGCGGCTTGAGGTGGCCATGGAGCGTCGCGAGCTCCGTCTGGAGCGTCATGTTAAGCTGCTGCAGGAGGCGGTTCTCGTGCTCGAGCTGCTCCATTCGGAGGAGCGACCGCGACAAGTGGTCCCGGAGCTGCGCGTTCTCCATTTCGCCGTTGCGGTTGACAGCCAGGAGCGACTCGGCCGTCTGCTTGAAGTACTGCGCGCGGGACATGACTTCGTCCACATCAAGCACGGTTTCTGCCTACGCGGATGAGGATGAGACAAGGGTGTGCATGTGGTCATGGAGGAGCGTCGTCGCCGTACCTGGCCAGGAATGAAGACAGTAATGTGTTTCGGGTGGTAGGACACAGCGTTCAAGTTGATTTTGGGGCTGTGCATGGACGGCGGCGACAAGGACGGCGGCGGCGTGGCCGAGCCGTTCGACGGACGCACAGCTGCCGGATGCTCGTGGCGCGGC